TGTGTGTGTGTGTGTGTGTGTGTGTGGTTCTTCTCTGTCTCCTCCCCTGGACTGGTAGCTTTGGGAGAGCAGCGACCAACCATAGTGTCATGAGCAGACGTGCTGTCCTCCCCAGTGCGGGGGCTGGAGCATAACAGACAGCAAAGCAGGGTCTGTTGAATGAAGGAAGGAGTGGATGGAGTGAAATACGGCACTAGAAAATGTCTTCTTATATTTGGGATAATATCGATCCTAGCAAATGAGGAGAGTCTGAAGGTCATTAATCAAAACATAAGCAAGGGGGTCAAGTCTCCACTAGGAGAAACAGGTCAAGTCATACCTAGGCCCCAGTGTGTGTGGGGGGGGGTGGCTTGACCCGTAGCACAGGACAAGGAAATCACAGGGACAGTCGCCACAGGACTGGGGTTAGCTGGGGTTAGCTGCAGGCTGTGATGGAGCTGGGGCAGGAACACGAAGCAAGCGACCGTAAAGCAATTGATCACTTCCTGATTGTCCCAGTCGCTGAACACCTGTAGGTATTAGTGACTCTGATGGATGGAGGCGGGGGAGTACGGTGGTTCCCCTGGGCCCAAGGTTGGTCTCCAAACAGTATCTATGAGAACATGTTAGAAATGTAGACTCTCGGGCTCCGTGTTTATGTTATGGATGGAAGGCATCGTAGTCCATCTGCTCTGTGTGTCTGAGTACGGGTATGGAACCTCAGGGTAAGACAGTGCTTGAAGTCATGGTTTGAGGCTGTTTGGAAATAGGAAGCACTGGTACAGAGCTCATCTCCCACTCCCAAGGCTCTAGGTTTTAAGCCCTCTCCGGGTTTTAAGAGATGATGAAGACCGGAGACCGACCATCAAGGCAGTGAAGGCGAAGAGGGAGCCTAAAAGACTGATCATGCTTTGAGTGGTTTAGTTGGAAAATGTGTTCCCATTCTCTGCTCTAATTCCTTGGAGAGGAGTATAAATCCTTTTCTAGACAGTTCCAAACTGACTGTGCATTTTTTTTTGCCCAAAGTTCTGGTCGAACCATTCCCTGCCAAGCCACAGTGTCTGGGGTGGTGTACCGCGTGGGGAGGGCGCTGTTCTGGAAAGATGCTGAGCTCATGGGCCCAATGAGTTCCCCACTTTCATGGTGTTTTTTTGTTGTTTTCTGGGTTTTATTTTATTTGTTTTATTTAATTTTTTGGTCAGAGGCTCATGGAATGTTCTCTGTATATCTCTTAACCCACGAAATCCCTGGAGCAAACAGGATGGCTCTCATCCAGTAGTTCTGAACCCGTGATTTTCTATGCAGGAGACACTCGGCAATGTCCAGAGACCATTCTGATGGTCACTACGGGGAGTAGGTCCTGTGGGGACATTGTGGGTAGAGGCCAGGGATGTTGATAAATGTCCCACAGTGCACAGAACAGCCATGGGGCTGTAGTTAACCTTCAGTGTGATAGTCATGGGGCAGGTACATGAGGCAAACTGCCCTAAACTAATGGGGCATTCCTGATTGTCCCTGTCCCTGAATATCTATGGGTATCAGTGACCTTTGATAGATGGGGGTGGGGGAGCCCAGAGTGTCAGTGGGGCCAGAACTGAGAAGCCCAGAGGTGACCACATAGCACCTAGGGCAGTGGAAAGAACAGAGCAGTGCCCAGGAGCCTGTGCTGTGAATTTGGACAGCTTCCCTGGAGTCCTGGACCTACCACTTCCTAGCTGTGTGACCTTGGGTTAGTCACTTAACCCCTCGGAGCCTCAAGTTGCCCCTGTGCAAAGCTGAGGTGATAAGGACAGCAACCAGTCCAGGATTCCTGGGGAATCAAGTGAATGTGTGTCCTCAGGGGTCCAGTACTTGACATGAAGCAGGAATTCCATAGTACACGCTACCATTTCCTCGGCAAATACTCCGGGACCTTGCATTTGGACTGGAGCCTGACCCCCAGCAGTTGTCCCCAGTTGGGACATCGGCCCACATTGCTGTCACCTAAACCCATGTGGGACTCCTCTCCCTGCAATTCATCCTCCCTCTGTCCGCATGCCACCTCCCTTTCTCCCTGCCCAAGGCCGTCTGCCCCAGTCGGGTCCCAGATTCACTGCCTGCCCATCCCTGCTTCATCTTCGCCCTCCAGGAGCGGTCCTCTCTGCTCGGCTCCTTCCTTCTCCGCTCCTTCGTCGTGCTGCCTGGATTCTAATGGGGGCAGCCTCCTTGGCATTTCGTGCTGCGTCTGAAAAGAACTGGAAGGAAACCTTTAGAACTCATCAAGGGCCACTGTTTGCAAGCATTTGGCTTTTGAGCAGAGGGACTCGGTTGACAAAGGAAATGTCAGAACGTCTCGTGTGTATGTGCATGTGTGTATGGACATACACATAAATGTGTCTATGGAAACAGCTATTTGATCAACATGGGGCTCTGATTGGAGGAGGAGTATTTTCCCCGCCCCCTCTTTTGCCCAAGAACCACCCACTCGATGGTGCCCTCATCTGTCCCACTGCCGTGGATCCCTGCCGCACTCAAGTAGTGCTAGGAGTCCGTTTTACAGAGGAACAGAGATCAGAAAGAAGATAGCGCCTATTTCTTATTCCCCTGCCTGTCACCTTTGGCGCTGTCCACCGGGCACAGGCTGACCCGAGGCAGGGCTTGGAAAGAGTAGACAAGGCCCAGGCTAGAGCCTGGAGAGCAGGTGCTCTGAGGTTCCGATTCCAAGTCAGGGGGGCCCGTCCTACGCTCCATAAGCCGGTCCTGACTTCTCTTAGAGCCTGTTTGCACATCTGTACAACCGGGCTAATCATCACTGCCTGTCTCACTGGGCTGGCGAGAGGACCAGACGAGGGTGAGCTTGGCCTGGCGAAGGGCAGTCCTGAGACCGTAGGCAGGACGGAGGTGACCTCAATGCCTCTGATCGCCAAAATCCATGCCTCATGGGGGCCAGAAGGGGGACTTGCTTTACCCTGGAGCAGGCCTCTGAGATAAGTTGTATCTCCCCCACTGGAAAGATGAAGAAACTGAGTTCAAAGAGTTAAGTCATTCCTCCAAGTTGTCACAGAGCCGGAAAGCGATAGAACTGGGCATTGCATCCCACATCTGGCGGGAGACCTTTCTTTCATTCCGCACTCATGCAAAAGGGTCTATTTGTTTAACATAGGACCTGGCATGGAGTAAGTGCGAGATAAATGGCGTCACCGCTCGTGATATTTCAGACTTTCATTAGGGTGCAACTTCTTTATATTTTTCTCCAGGGACCAAAGCGGATGTCGGACGCCCAAGTGCAAACAGATCCCGTATCCATCGGACCGGTTGGCAAATCCAAGTAAACAAATCACTACAGTTCCCACCAAGTTGTCCTGCCAGCGAGAAGTCTGCTCCCTGCTCCATTTCCTCCCCGAGCCCACTCCGTGTACATAGTTTTCTTTTAATGGCCATCCAATGAAATTCTGCCTACAAATTAAGCCTGAGCTGTTGTATATTGAGGTGTATTATTTACGTCTCTGGTCCAATCTTTTCCGGGAAAGAGTCGTCAAGATGGTTTAGCCCGTGAACCAGTCAGGTCGGGAGACTTGATGGTTGCCAGGCAGGGGTGGAGCGGGCGGAGGAAGGCGTTCTGAGTAAGTTATGTGAAATGGCAGGGGCAAGTAAGTTGCAGAAGAAGGATGCCGGCTGAAAGGAATTAAGCTTTGTAGGAAATACACGCTCATCCTCTACACTCAAAGAGGAGAGACAAAAATCCGTTTAAGTTCACATTTCGAGGAGGGACAGCATGGGCTCTGGGGGGCAGGGGGGGTTGCCAATTTCCTGGAATGGAATGTGTGGGAAATGAAAAAGGAATGAATAAGCGTTACTTGTCGAATAGGGTCCTTGAAAGTTATTGATGAGAAAGGAAAAGATTGACTGCAGAGGGTTTGAAATGATTTGGGGAAACAATTGCTTTTTGAAACTCAGTGAGGAGGGCAAGGATTACAACTTCAAAAAAAGAAAAAAAAGAAAAAAAAGCAGAACGAGTGAATGAAGTTGCAAGTCTACTTTGCAACACAAGGGGGCACTGAGGTCTCCATTTTAATCCTGCATCCCCGTAGCCCTAACAAAGATTTGGTCTCTGCGATCTCACATTATTAATGCTTCTCAGATGGCGGAGGGGCTTGCTTCATCTGTTCTGTCTGACACTTATCTCAAGTCTGTCTGTAATTTCCTAATGTTCTCAGGATGTTTTCTGATAAAACCCTCCCCATAACCCCAGTTAATAAAAATTTCTGGAAGATTATTCAAATACCCGAGGTTTTCTTAATACGTGTACAGACGGGTAAATAGGACCGTGAGCCTATTAAAATGTAATTCAAAGTAGCATTTGATTGACTGATACCATGTATACTGTATCTTTCTTTTTCTGATTTAATAAAAAAATACATTTACATCTAAAGCATCTTTTAATTTTCAACTTTTAAAGCAGGGCTCTTGTACTCTCTGAGACAGCTTTATTGTCCACAGAATAACATCGGTCTTCTTCCTCCATCTTGTCCTCCCTCCCAGATGCTCCTAGATTTCCGTGTATATGGGCACGTGCCCTAGAAATGGGTGCACATATATTTGCATAGCTACACGGGCACTTATATAAAAGTACTGCCTGAGCCCAGGCTGCCTAGGGCAGAGCCTGAGGCAGAGATTCCGGAGCCTGTGATAAACCGGAGGAGGACTTCGGGTGGAGAGAGGAAGCGACCCACAGGGCAGGGATGTTGCCTAATGAGGATTGGCCTCAGCTGGAGTTGAGTTTCATCGTGAGCCCCTAGGTGGCGCTGGAGCATGACTTGCACCTTCCACTCGGTTCGACCTTGAGCCAAGGGGAGCCGGCCCTTGTACCCTTGTTGCTGAGTTCCCGCACAAGGTGCTCCCACTGCGCTGGGAGGTGGGTAGCTAGAGAATGTGTGCCTATCCATTATAGATAGACACATGATATGCAGATAATCTGTTTACACCGACGTAGGGAACACGTCCATACATATAAACGTACTTTACATACAGAAGTGGAGAAATGTATGTACACATCCATACTCAACATATTACATACAAGAATAAATGCATGCACATTCAAATGCATACACATACAAATAGATCCGCACATACACGCTAGCTTGTAAAAATCCATCACACAATGATCTGACGTAAACATTGAATACGGTCTTCTGACGAGTTTTCACATTAAGTAAATAAAACCATGGTTTTGGCAAAAGAAACAAAAAGACATTTGGGAAAGGTGTTCAGGAAAACGATGGTATCCCTGAAAAACCAGATGTGGGGGGCCCGTTGCGGTGGGGGTCTACTAGCTCCCAGCTTGGATGGCCCAATGCTAGGTTTCAGATAAAGATCAGAGGCCCTTTCCTTAGCTGCTTCAGACCTGCTGCTCAAACCTGGAGATCAGTGTCTGTAGCTCACTCAGGGGAGAATGACTTCATGCCACTTCCGGTCTGAATGCTTAACTTGGCATGCATCAGGGAAAAAATCCTTTGGGGAAGCCCTTACAGGCAGGGTGACTTTCCTCCACCAACACCGTCAGGGAGCAAGGGCTGATTCAAGAAAACCAGGCAGCTGCTCATTCCTTTGTCCCCGAGCACCAGGGGGGGTCGCCTTGTGTGACCTTTGGTGAGCCCTGGGCCATACTAGTCCATTGAGAAAGGTGACAGTTTCATTTGCAAGTTTCACCTCACTGGGCACAGGGGCTTTTGGCCCTGATGAGAAACGCCTCCAGGCAGGACTGAGTCACTAAATGCAGAAGAAGCCCTCCCATCCCCCAACTCCCCAGAAAAAAAATATTTTAAAAAATATTTTCAATGATGTTCTTTGCTGAGAACCTCTTTGCACAGCCAACACTTTCTGTAACGGTTCCATAGTGGCCTGGCCAAAAAAGAGAACAAGCTTTTAATGAAATTGCTTGGGGTTGTCATTGTTGTTGCTGTTTTTAAAGGCAAGAAAACTTAAGCCTGAGCAGACTCAGACAATGACTTATCTGGGGGGATTGGAAAGCTAGCTGTAGCCTCAGAACCACGATAAACCCTCATCTTCAAATTTTGAGGGTTTGTTGTTTGATTTTTTTTTTTTTTTTAAGCTGGGAGCTCATTCCTGATGCATTTACAGTCAATACTAATTTCCATGCCTCCCGCTGAACTCCTGTTAAAAAAAAAAAAAAGAGCAGAAACTCCCCCGAGTGAGCTCTACAAAGCTCTTGAGTCTCAAAAGCGTCCAGGGACTGAAGGTTCCTCCAAATATGGGGCCCAGAAAGGCCACTTGGGTGGCAAGGCCCAGTACACGGAAACACGAAGCCGGCCTTGCAACTGAAAGGGAATTATGGCCTGTGGGAGGGGGCCAGGGGGCCTCGTTAAAAATTTACAAACTCATTTATTCATTTATTTTTTATTTTTAGGTGCACAGGGAAGGGTGTCTTCTCCGGTGTCAAGAAGAAGTGGCCCTTCCAAGAATTGAGCTTTGGAGCCAGCCACCCCTGGGGGCAGAAGCAAAAACGAAAGAAAAACAAAACTCTGCTTTCCAGTTCCAGCCGATGGTGACTTTTGGACTGATATCCATAAAAGCATCCATTCAAAAGTGCGCTTGTACTCAGCAGCCCGTGAGGTCCCTCGCGAATTCACCGTCTAGGGAAGGGGAGGCATACCTCCAGAAATGCCCAAAAGGAAGGGAAAAGGAGAAAGAAAAGTTAAGTTCTTCAGCTTTTGTTGCATCCCCCTGCCCTTTAAGCAAATTATCTGGGATTTCAACACACACACACACACTTGAGCTGGACTGCCCTTATTTGTTTGCAAACGGTCCAGATGCAAGGGGGCCCCATTAAATGAGACTCCAAGAGCCTGGAATTTATGGCCTGTTAGTTCCTTCGCACAGTGCTTGACCCCCCCCCCCGCCCCCCCCCCCCCGCCCCAGAAGGGAACTCATTTCCACAACCCGGGCCTGACAAATGTCATTTCTTATGTCAAACACTCCCATGTGGATCTTAAACCCTAAACAAGAAAATCAACTAGCCTTCCTGCTGTAAAGAACATTTTGGAAAGGAAAACGATTTCAGGGATCCACTCACCCAAGTTGCAGGCAGAGGGCACGCGCTTTGCAGAATGGTAAGGAAGGTAAGGGCTGGTTTTAACCAGCCTCCCAAGCTCCCTTTTGAAGCCGTCTTAAAAGGCCATTGCACCGTGAGTAGAAATCAGGCTCCTCCACAGTCTAGATCTTCCTCACTCCATCACTGAACACACGGTGCCCCTGGCCCACTGGAAATTACGGGCTCCATTAGGGAGAAAAGAAATTACTTACTGAGCGGCAAATTCTGTAAATTTGTAATTCAGATCTTAGCGCAGGCCTGCAAGCCGGTTGGGATCCAGCCCTTTGCATAAATCGGTGTTCTGGAGAGCTTAACCCTTGCGGCTCTGTTTCCTTCCCCACCTCTCCCCCGAAAGCTGCTCATTTTAGCATCCCCCTCCCCTGGCCCTTTAATTGGCCAAAGCAGACATCGGGTGCGGATTTCACAGATGTAAGGATAACTATAATATGCCTCACATTCTCGCCCTTAGCAATTTATAGAACACTTTCTGAATCCGTCGTCTAATTCAAAGCTGTGTACCTCTAACTGAACTTAATTACCGCCTTTGTTGTATTTTATTACGAGGGCACAGGCACTCACGCACCTGTATGCCTTTTTTTTCTCTCTCTCCCTCCAAAGGAGCACTTCTTGACAAAATGGCCCCCAGCTGCATTTCTGGCAATGGTTGCCATTGAAGGAGTTCAGGGCTTAAGGGATTGACTCTCCTTGGAGGATGTTTTGTTGAAATCTGGCCACATGGGGGAGTTCTAGGACCTAGGGTGCTACTCCCATCTCCAGCCAAGCCCTATTCCCTCACTCCCTAACTGGGAGGTTGGGCCAAAAAAGCTCTTAAGAATGTGTTTGTTGATTGACTTCTAGAAAGCAGTCAAGTTTAATGAGGAGAACCAGAACAAGAGGGGGCCAGCCTGGGCAAGTCAACTGCCTTCCACAATTCCCAGTCTGCCCGACCAAGACAAAGTCGGTTGGTTGGTTCTTCCATTCTTATCAGCTTAGGCTTGGAAGAAGCTTAAGGAAGGACAGTGTGATTGTAAACTATTTAGGTTGGTGTCACGGCCAAGCATTGATTTACGTTCCCCTCACCGGCTCTTCATGCTCCATAACATAGCCTTACCTCTCACGTCTCTGCACCCAACTAGCAGGCAAGCGACTTAACGTTGCTCTCAGTTTCCTCCTAAACAATGGGACAGTAATTGTGCGTACTTCGTGGAGCCAGTGGCTGGCACATCATAAGCGCTTCGTAAAGGAGAGCTATTATGTCATAGGGAAACTTCAGCACCATAGCAGAAAACTCCTACTCCAATTGGCTAGTAAAAATCGTAATAACTATAGGGAGATTTATCATGTCATTGAACAGCTGTTATATCACAGCCTGGCTCTGATTCTCCGGACTCTGCCCTGCCATGTTCCGTGGGCTGACTTCACCCTAAGACCAGTGCCAGTGGATGGCTACAGTTCCGGACAAGGGGATTATGGGATTACCATAATCAGTTTTGATTTATCCTTTTGGCAAAATCGATTATTTAGAGGCAACTACAATGAAGCAATAAATAGCAAGGCAAGTTTTGACATCAGTGTCTTTAAAGTTAGCAGTTCCTCAGACCAGCTGTGGAAGCCCCCCCTCTCCAAAACAGGGCCCTTAGACTGTGAGCTCATCAACGTCGGGGACTTCCTTGTCTGTGT